CGTCTCTCTTCTCCCTGCTGCTCGTTCGTTCTCTCTCTCTCCCCCTTCCTCTCTCCTCTCGTCTCTCTCTCGTCTCTCTTCTCTCTCTCCTCTGCTCTCTCTCTCTCTCTCTCTCTCTCTCTCTCCTCTCTTCTCTCTCTCTCTCCTCCGATCTCTCCTCTCTCCTCTCTCTATCTCTCTCTCTTTTGAGGCTCTCCGTCCCTCTGTCTCTCTGTCGCTCGCTGACTTCACTGACATAGGCAATTATTGTCATGGGGACCTTACGCCCAGGTGTCCCTTGACGTGCGACCACATTCTCACAATGGGACCGTTGTCCCGCGCTACCGGAAGTGTACGAAAGTACGCGCACAAGCGATGGGTTGCGTAAAAACGGGCCCCTACAACCTGGTGGTCCAACTCTAATCATGGGCTAAAAAGACCATCTCTAACTGTCGCATGAAAGTGCCCCATTGTCCCTATTGAATACAACACGTGCGATGCACATCGCATTGCATGTACTATACATCCTGACGAACACGATATATCAAGAGTTCATAATAGAAAATCTTCCTATAGTACCTTTGATAATATATATGGTGTCGACATACATTGCAACGATTCGCGCAAGACGTGCATGTAAAAAGGCAAACGACTTGCATAGTCTAGTTACATGACACCGCTTTATGCAATGGCATGCTCATGTGCACATGAACCGGCACGGTCCGCCAGGCGTGGGGGAGGGACGGGTCAACCTGGGAATGAGGCATTGCTGGGGGAGGAGGGATTGCTGGAGGGAGGATGCGCTGGGAGGAGGATGCGCGAGGAGGGAGGATGCTGGGAGGACATATACTGGGAGGGACGACACTGGGGACGGGAGGATGCGCTGGGGAGGTGGAGGATTGCTTGGGCGAGGGAATCGCTGGATAGGCGAGGATCGCTGGATGGGAGATTCGCTATGAGAGGTCACGGGAGTGAGGATTGCTGGGAGGCGAGGATTTCGCTGGGAAGGAGATTGCTTGGAGGATATCGCGTGGGGAGAGAGATCGCTGGGGAGGGAGGATACGCGGGTGAGGGAGATCGCCATGGGGAGGCGGATCACGGCGTGCGTCTGCTGACCTGCCGCTCGCTCTGCATATCGCTCTTGTTTGCGAGCAGGATCATCTGCTCGGCATCAAGGTCCTCCTGCTCGAGCGAGCGCAGCCAGTAGCGCAGCATGTCGAACGAATCGCGCCGACACATATCGAACACAAGCAGCAGACCCTTCGTGCCGCGGAACTGAAACTTGGTGATGGTGCGGAAACGCTCTTGACCGGCCGTGTCCCTGATTGAGAGAACGAGAGCAACACTTTATACCAGGGTTCAACATTTACTTTTTATTTCACTAGACCATCGGGCTAGTAACTGAGGAAAACCACTAGCCCTAACCTAACTTTCATTGGCCTTTCACCCTAACCCTAACTCTAACCCAGACCATTGTTATGAAAAACTTTATTTAGATAAGAGTGTGTCATCGTATGAATTCATAGATGCTGCTAGTGACATAATTATCATGATAAAGTATGTAGTTTTAACTGCAATATACTATTACACGGTAGAAATGTTTAGATTGAGGTTTACAGATATACACTAGTATACAGAAGCTGTACAGAATCCGTAGTAGCTGTACAACATATAGTAGCTGTACAGAATCAGATCACAGCTGGCCATTCTTACGCGAGCGTTGTTTCCCGCGTTTAGTCGCGCTTAGTCGCAGTCGAGACAGAGTGCGTACTACCAGGAGCTAATAATGACAAATTTGTCATTATTAGCTCCTGGTACTACGAAGTCGGGAACGAGGCAAGAAACGATTGCACGATCGAAACTACAAAAGAGTGTTTACCGTATTATTAGTTATCTAAAGACTAATATGTTGTTCTAATACATCACTAAGATGGTGGTTGCGATGACAATGGTAACGACCACGTCGACGACGACGACGACATCTAATGATAATGGAGAGGACGACGACGACGACGATGAGGAGAAGGAGGAGAAGGACGAAGCTGAAGATGAGGATGGGAGAAGAAGGTGATGGAGGAGGAGCAAGATGAGGAAGTGTAGGATGATGATTACGAAAATGATGGTGATGATATTTCTTCTGCTGCTGTTGTTAATTGTTGTTATGATTATTGCGTCTGCTGCTGTTTCTGCTGTTGCTGCTGTTGTTGCTGTCGCTCCTACTGCAGATGCAGCCGCTCCTGCTGGGATTGTTGTTGTTGTTGTTGTTGTTGTTGTTGTTGTTGTTGTTGTTGTTGTTGTTTTCGTTGCTGCCGCCGCCGCCGCTGCTGCTGCAGATGGTGGTGATGATGATGATGATGAAAATGATGACGACGACGACGATGATGATGATGACAGTGATGACGATGTTGCTCATAAGGATTATAACGGGGATGACGATGGTGATGAAGACGACGACGATAATGATGTTGTTGATGATGTTGTTGATGATATTGATGATTGCTGATCTTGATTGTTTGATATGATGTTGTAATAGTAATAGTAATTGTAATTGTAATAGTAATAGTAATTGTAATTGTAATTGTAATTGTAATTGTAATAGTAATACCTTGCATTTAGCAAGGCACGGCGGTCCTGCTTCATTGTCCTACATAACACTCACCAGACTTGTAGACGGCACTTGGCTCCGTCGATCTCGTAGTCCTGATTGACGAAGTCTATGCCGCACGTCGGCATCAGGTTGTCGGCGAACATGCCTCCCTTGAGTCGCGCAATGAGGCTTGACTTTCCCACGCTCGTCTCGCCCATCACGAGAACCTTGTAGCAGACGTCGTATTCGCACGTCGCCCGCCGCTCCCTCTTCGTCTGCACCATCTTCACCGTCTGTTGACCGAAGGAGAGAAACAGACACGTTCAGTGGTTTCAATTAGTGGACATTTAATGTTATGGGATGTATGTAATTAATGTAAGTATGTAATTATGTATGTATGGATGTATTTAATGTGGGTGGGTTAGGTTGGGGTTGTTGCCTCGTATGGCGTGTAATATCTCTACAGTCTGCTCCGACAGAGAAAGTGCGTTTTGCGATTGGTTGATATTCAATATTTTGAGAGTTGAGTGGGTTGGGTTGGTGGTATCGCGCGGTGTTAGCGTGTACCATTTTCACAGTTTCACATGTTGACGATAACAGATACGCACGGAGTTTCCGATTTGTAAGGGTTAATTTTTGATAGGTTAGTCGATCGTGTGAGTGAGCGGGGGATGCGAGACATCTCTCCGTGCACTCTCTCTACAGCCTGCTCAGGGATACGGACGGAGTTTCTTCTATTGAAAATTATTATTATATCGTATCATCGCATGTGTCAACGAGGCCCATCGTTGTTCGAAGGGACCTCATAAGTTGATTTTAAACCGGTGAATGAAGGCGTTTTTTTCGGCGAATTTTCGGTCTAGTTGTTTGTGCCAATGGCCGCGTGTGTGCTGTAGCCGCAGGTGCCGACTTGTTCTTGCTGCCAGTGGTTGCTACGTATCAATGTCACGGGCATATGATGTTACACACAACCACATAGACATGAAAAAATATGATAACACCACTGAATATTGCACGGCAATAAATCATCACGCTAGACGCAGCTGCCGTCACATTATGCACATGTTGTTGGTCTTTAATAACCGATTGTGTCATATAAATAACTAAATTCTTCGTGTTCACTTTATTATTACGCGTTATAAACGCCGGCGGCAAAGGAACTGTAAGGCTTTGGATCTCTCTCTCTCTCTCTCTCTCTCTCTCTCTCTCTCTCTCTCT